AACAGGGGGATGGAGAGAACTGGTCAGGGCAGGGAGGGACAGAGGAGAGCTGCAGAGCCGACTCGTTCTCGTAACAGAAGGAGAAACGGGAGCCCAGGATGTACTTTTTCTCGTCTAACTCTTTGGCACTGCAGGTGGGCGTGTCCAAGACCTCATAAGTCCTGTTGAAGTACGAGTAGTCCACCTAGAGGTGGGGAGGACACATGACAAGTACAGAGCATAACTAGATTTACATTTCTAGAGGAAAAACCTTGCAAGTCAGGAAAAGAATATTGTTCATTTTAGTTAATAGTAGTAGTAGAGTAGTTTTCGGGTTTTGGTTCTACACAAACGAAATAAAGCATGAGAGCTGCTTTTTGTGAATTTTGAGAATCAACACATTCACAACACCATCTTTTTGGTATCGATAGCTCCTAATTATTCAGAAATGATCAAGATTCAGAATTAAGAATGCCTTTTAAATTCCAATTCAGTTTAAATTCCAAATCAGTTCCAATGAATTTAAATTGAGGTAAAAACAGAATTGCAATTTAAATTGAAGTAGAATTAAAATGAGTTGAAATCAAAAGAAATTCATATCTCCAAAAGATGTCATGTTTAACTAGAAAAGGAAAATGTGTCAAAACTGTTTTTAAATGTTAACATGACAGTGCCCTGATTAAAAAAAAGGTTAAAGGTTTTACAGGCCTTACAGATAAACCATTAGATAGATTGGGTTGATGTTATCATATTTAATACCTTTCATACAATACATCCTTCATTTATGGACCAAGGAGGTCGAACACTGCTCTTCATAAATTCTTTAAATTGCAAAACAGCAAATTCATGTTCCGGTTATATAAATTAAGCGTGGCCAATTTAATTGAGTTGCTTCTTTCTGGTAATTTTAATATAAATCTGGCAACACTGTAAGAAAAACACAATCACAACTGAATATACAAACATAATCAGAATATCACAATGTTTTTGCTGTTGGTTCAGGCGATCATTCTATTAGTGCAAGACAATAGAAGATTTTGAACATTTTTTAATGAAAAAAACAAATTTAAATAAAACTTAAAACCAAAACAATTTACAACAAAATTTGGACAGGATTCTGTTAAGTAAAATGGGGCTGAATTAATTGCATAAGTCAAATATTTAGTGTTGAGGGTTTAGAACGAACGCTAACCAGAATATTTGAGGAATATCAATACAATGCTGCTTTACAAACACAGTATTGAGTCCCATCTGGTACTTCTACATTTACAAGCACTGCATTTTCGTTCAATAATCCCTTTACTCCTTTCAACTCAATCACTCTCCACCCTCCATTTCTTTATTCTCGGTGTCTCACCTGGTAGCAGTTCTTCCTTTCAACGAGCACAGGTTCAAAGCGGTGACCCCAGAGGATCTCAGAGGCCAGGTATGAAGACCCACATTGGGTTGTCATGGCAGTGGCCTCCACCATGCCCTCCAGAATCACCACCACCTCCATCTCTTTGTCTCCCTCTAGTGTACGTTTGTCCGCTTGAAAGAAGGGGCTCTCCTCATTAATTTCGTGCACAATTGTCACAGGTGACACCAAAAAGATGAGATCTGTTCCTGTGTCAAAGCCGACGTTTAGGTCTGCATTGTCCAATGACAGGAACTCACCCTCAGGGGTCACCCGTGGCTGCAGGAAAGGTCAAAAGCATTCACAGATCAGTCATTTTTATGAACTGTCATTTAATATTTATTAACTGTAGTCCATTTTATTTGAACTGAAATAGCACAATTTTTGTCAATGAAAATGTTTTAGCTGACAAAAAAATGTGTCAAACTGAAACATAATAAACTTAAAAAAGTTATAAATATGTATTTAAACATATCAAAGACATACCAACATAAAATATGAAAATTTGCACACAAAATTTTTTTTAATTCACAGTTCTCAAAAAACATACATTTGCATTTGCATAAACTCTTTTTCCTCTTCTAAAACATTGTTAAATCATTATTCTGACTGACTATAATTGTGATGCATCACACAAGATTTTCACTTTCATTGTTTATAAATTGCTAAAAACTTTGTGCATATATAGCACCTGGTGAGGACAGTATTATTAAAGAAGATACGCAATGTAATTACATTCTATTGTTTTCCATATCTGTAAAATCACAGAAAATAACAAGGTTTTTATGATTGTATGTGTGTGAATACTGTTTACAGTCATCTATATTATTCCAGTCAACTTAGTCAATAACATACTCTATGAAATATAAGAATTTATTATGTTCAAACAACTGACCATCTGACCTCAAATCATCAGGACATGTTAGAAACAGCACATTATTGCATGTGGATATGACAGGGGTGTTGCTAGGGTCAGAAGAGATAAGGGGCTTAGCCCCTAAGAAAAAGACCCCCGCCCCTGTCACCTCATTACATGTGAGTAAATGACCAACTACAGCTGCACGATTCTGGATAAATTGAAAATCACAAAATTCTCCCATGATTCAAATATGTACTGACTATTTTGGTCAATTTAATGCATCCTTGCTGAATAAAAGCATTAATTCTTTTCAGCAAATAAATAAATAAACCCCAAACATACTTTAACAAACAAAAAAGTACCATGTTAATGCCATGGTTTTTGCACATGGTAGTCTACTATGGCAATGTAATGATATTCTTTGAAATACCTTGGATTGTAAAGTAAATAGCATAGTGAATGAGTATAGTGGTCATTTATATTAAAATACTATTGTATTACAACCACTGTACCACCAAGGTACAGTTATATTTGCTGGCTTCACCCCTGCTCATTCTCTCTCATTCACTCTTTCCAATCATTCTTATCTCGAAGTAAAATCAACATCCACTGTAAAATTTACTTTAAAATTGTGGTTGGAATTAGTTCTTGTTCCATATGGAGGGGACAGTGTCTAACCTAAAATAACCTATAGCCTTATCAATAAAACATCAACTTATCTCATATTTTTTTTAGAAACGTAGTGACCTTAACGCACAGTTATGAGGGTCTATTGGGGTCTCTTTGACATATAAATATTGTTTTTTTTTTCTACATGCTGGTTGGACTACATGACTTATACATTTCCAGATAACCAATTTGGTTTCTTTTCTAATAAATAATAATAAAAGATTATGGCAAACTACTTAATGAGATTGTCTTTTCATGAATTTGACACTTTTAAAGGGTTTTTTCTTCATTACATGCTCATCGTAGAATAGGTATTTGACTGTATTTAAAAGGTAAAGTTTACACAAGTCACTGTATGTAAACTGTGAACTGCATGTTTATTCTATTTTTGAATAAATTGATTGACAGGTCAAAAAATAAAAATAAACTAGACAGAAACACACCATCTCACTGGCCTTCAGTAGCTGTGCTCGCACATGGGCCTCCACCAGGTGGCTCTTTCGCAAGTTTCCCACTCGCCACATCATGCAGAGTTTCGCGTCCCTCATGGCCACCACGGCCACATCCGAGAACTCCAGTGTCTCATTGCGCTTCTTGGGCTTGGCGATCTTAGCCATTACCGCCACGATGATGAAAGCGTCGATGATGCAGCCCACAATGCACTGCAACACGACAGCCAGCACCGCCAGGGGGCAGGCCTCGGTAACGCTCCGGAAGCCATATCCTATAGACGTCTGCGTCTCCAGAGAGAAGAGGAACGCCGCC